TCATGTGTTAGTGGTGGGAACAGTCATACGGTTATTGTTCATGTGTCCAACAGCAGAGGGGAAGAAACTGTTCTTATGGCGAGAGGTTCTGGTGCGAATGGACCGGAGGGTACAACACGATGAAGGGCAAAGGAAAACACATGGCTTAAATTCACAGGCAAGACAAGAGAGGATGGGGATCAGGTGGGAATACAGCTGGGACAAATCAGACATAAAGAGACAAAGCAGAATACACTGACATAAGGCATGGACTATCAAAATAAAACAGGAAGCGTGACATCATGTAGAGGCAGAGTTGACACCGGCAGATGATTAGTCTGGAACAAAGGAAATACAAAAGCACCGGGAAAACATGGGGCCAGAGACTAACCACAGATAAACAGTAAGTAAACAAAACATCAACATCAGTAATCGAAGAATATCATTCCAGAAGTTGAAACACAAACAGTGGGTCGCAGACCCAGTACCATGACAAAAATCACCCACAATATCAGTAGTAATTTAATAAGTTCACTTTATTTTCTATAAAAATTCCATCCATCCAATCACTTCCGCTTATCCCTTTTTAGGGTCGCAGGGGGGGCGCTGGAGCCTATCTCAGCTGTCATAGGGCGAGAGGCGGGGTACACCCCGAACAGGTCGCCAGTCTGGGCTAAGACACAGAGGCTGTATTCCAATTCAGGGTCTGCAGCCTTAAAGTACGCAGCCTTAACGATCCACAAGGGTCGCGTACTCAAAGACCGCTAAGGCCGGAAGTGCGAGGCTTGTGAAATGGGCGGTCTAGCCTCCGTCGTGCTGCCCAGGTTGCCTGGCAACCATGATACTAACAGCTGGAAACTTTTCAGCATTATTTGAGACAATCTTTTGTTCATTTGTTTGTTTCTACATGAGCTTTGATCATTCTCTGTAGGATTAAGCTCAGCTATTGAACGGCGTATATTTTAAAGTAAAGACTTTAAAACCAAGTTAGTACAAACGTCACTAATGTCAGATGACTTTGCCGACATGTGGCCAACAGTAATGTTTTATTGTTCTTCGTTATTAAACATTTGCACATAAATAAGTGACATAATATTTAGTAATTACTTAAAGTTTACTCTTCAGGTGCCCCTCGTCCGCCGTTTTTTTTCGGCAAAATTATCCACACCCACCGCCGCGCTATGCATTCTGGGATATGTTGGGCCACGAAGTCTACACCGCCACAGCCTTAAAATTCAGGGAGATGAAGGACGCATTTCAGGGCCGCATTTCAAGCAGCCTTCGAATTGGGACAGCCTTCGGCGCGCCGCTGTGACGTAATCGGCCTTAAAATGCGGCCTTTAAGGCTGCAGACCCTGAATTGGGACACAGCCAGAGACAGACAACCATTCTCACTCACATTCACTCCTATGGGCAATTTAGATTGATAAATTAACCCAGTAACTGCAAGTCTTTGGACTGTGGGAGAAAACTGGAGTACCCAGTGAGAACCCACGCAAACATGGGGAGAACATGCAAACTCCACACAAACGACCCCAGCCTGAAGGTGGAATTGAATCAGGACCTGCTTGCTGTGTGGCAACAGTGCTCACCACCGTGCCACCGTGCTGCCCTGGTTTAAAAACATTATTTCACATCATTTATTGTAGCTCACACCACAACATTCAGAGACTTTATGGCCACAGATTGTATAGAGAAAATTAATAGTAGGACAGCATATTAATCGTGATTTCAAAGGCTGTAGGTTGCAGCCATTGCTTTAGCAATGTGTATAAATGTAACAGGACTGGTTTTAACCATTGTAACAGTCTGAGCTTCTTCAAGCTTTATTTGAGCACATTAGCTTACTAAAAACAGAAGCTAGCTAGTAGGGGAGACCGGGGATAGTTGTAACATTTTTGACATTTCTGTCTGTAAATTGAAGCTCTTTTAATGTAGTGGATTCAAAATGTAATGCAAAGTATTTACATGTCTCGGCTATTAAATAGTGCAGCTATTTTCTCTGCAGCACAATTACCCATTGCATGGTATGGCCTCAAACACGAAGAGTGAAATGTTACAATTAACCCCATAGTCTGGGTTAGTTGTAACATATCCTGGGGTAAAATGTAACACAATGAAATAAGGGTACTAACAAAACATTAACATGTAATCTTTGTTTATTCAACACATGAATGCACGTACATCCATTTATGTAGCTCTCTGTGCGTGTGACAGAATGCAGAAATCTAGCTTTTGAACATATTCCAACCCCCCAAAAAAGACAAATTATAAAATTTTCTGTAACTGAATATTTCATTAATTTTGGTTGGTCTTCCTTGAGTTTGGCCTCATTGGCTCAGTGGGCATTATAACCTACAACTCTTGCACCAATTTTGAACATAACAATGAAGCTGAAAAAATGTAGTTGTTCACCAGCATCGCAATTCCATTACTTTTTATCCTGGCTTACCTTGGTGTGGTTTGCAAAGTGCTTCAGAAAGATGAGGAAATCTGTTTCTTGCACCCATCCTGACTTATTTCCACTACCAATACTTCCTACTGGTCCATCTCTGACACAGAGGTCTGCATAATGTATGTGTGGGAACACAAACAGTGGAGGAATTGTGTTGCCAATGGCATTAACCACATATACAAATGTGACCAGTGAACCTCTCTCTGCTGATGTCGTTGCCCCAACTTGTTTAATATAAGTTAAAGTAATAGTGTGGTAACATCTACATTATTGTTACAACTGACCCAGACTGTTGCTGTTACAACTGACCCAGACTCCTATAGCCATGAACTAGCTAACATTACAGCCAACGGCTAAAACATTAGCACTAAAGACCTACACAGAATATATCCCCATAGACATACAAATAACACAATTTAAGTTTGATGAGTTTAACTGCAAAGCAGATAATGCTATTACAAATTGAAATAAAATAGAAAAACTTACTTTTTGGCATACAAATTACTTTTTTCATGTTAAATTGTCTGTGTTTGACAAAATGTGCTGATTTTTCACATGTGATAGCAGAACTGAGTTGGGCATGCACAGGATGAGTCACATCATTTAAAATTAGCCCTGATTGGAGAAATTGGAAGTGTTACAACTGACCCATGTTACAACTATCCCCGGTCTCCCCTACTACTGGGGTGTCACATTTTCACAAGGTAAGACTGGGGCTACATGGCTACATGGAGGGGTACTAGCATTAGCTGTGTTACTACATTACTTTCAGCCAAATCACGAGGGGTTCAGGTTTTCTTTTCCCTGCATTTTCCCTTCACATCATTCATATATTTGTGTTGGACATTTTCAGAGAGTGAATACCGAGGCTAACTGTCCACAAACACTTCTTTAAAAAGTCTCCTTAACAGTGAAAAGCTGTCAGTGGCATAGAAAAACCCAGCCAGCATGCCTGTGAGCAACCAATGAGAGACCTCTTTACATGCATGCCTAATTTGCATTGCTTTTTCTCCAAGGACAAAAAAGCCATAGAAATGGAAAAGCTAATCCAATAGCTAATCTAGTAATTATTACAGCTAACAGGGGGAAAATGAAAATTAAAAAGTGAGTGGAATAAACATTTCAAAACTAATTGGATTTTTCAATTCATTTACTTATTTCTCTTTTTAATTTGCATTTTTTTAAAGTCTCAATTTGAACATTTTTTAAAATGAGGTTTTGATTCTTTCTTTTTCTTTCTATAAATCATGTCTCAACTCTGTATATTTTATAGATTTTATTTATTGTTTACTCTATTTAATTTGTAAAATATGTGTACACACACACACACACGTAGGAAAATATTTACTATACAAATCCAGAAATGCATATACTATTATATATTGTACATATACTTATTAGTTTCAGATGTAGCCATTCTTGTATTTTGCTTGTTTACATTATTGTATTTTGCACAACTCTGTTGCTTGTGAAGCTCGCACACAAGAATTTCACTCACATGTGCTGTACCAATGTACCTGCACAAGTGATGTGACAATAAAAGTGATTTGATTTGATTGATTTGATTTAAATCATATTTAGTATTAACTACATTAAGTATTTGTTGTTGGATTATTTTGGAAATATTTATTCATATTTATGTTTTTCATTTCCCTTTAACCTATAAACAACCAATGATGTTATGCATGTCTAAATAAACAAAAGACATGAAAACAGTTCTAAATGAATTTACTAATGCAGGTTATTTCACGAGTCATCATTAAATCAGGCAATGCTTCATTTCTGTGTGCTGACGCTCCTGATCCTCGACGCACATCAGCAATATGGACACGTTAGTTAAAACTAACAGGAAGGAAGGCTGGAGTAAGGAAGGAAAGGAGACAAGGACGCCGCCAAATGGTAGCGGGTCGCGTCCTGCTGTATTCCTTCGACTCCGTTCATCTCTATTCACAGTAAATAGAAGCATGGAGGCTTTGACTCTCGGGAGCTAACAGCGAGCAGCGGGGGGTAAAAACGCTGCCGCATGCGCTCTCGCCTCGACTAAAACACACAGGAAGGAAGCGTGATAGTGGTGAGGCTTTGGCCAGTTGGATTGAACTCATTTTAAGTGAAAGCAAGGTGTGCTGGTGGCGACAGGAGCGGGACAGCCCGCCGTGCAGAGCATGAAGCGGACGGCTGTGGTGGCCAGGCACAATGGCCTCGTCTCTCCGTTGGGGAACAACAACTCTGGAGCTTCTAGCATCGTCTCGCCACCCCATCCGAGAGCTACCAGTATCCCCGCTTCTGCCGACACCGATGCGGGCGGTGGGATGGACGGCCTGCTGGATTTCTCCAAAGGCCCCACCGTTAAAACGGAGCTAGTGTGCAAATGGATTGACCGAACTTCTTCAAGACAGAGGCTTGGGCGGACGGCGACATCCGTCTGCGATCAAACTTTCAGCTCCATGCACGAGCTCGTGGACCACGTCACCACCGAGCATGTAGCTGCGGGGCTGGAAAGCCTCAGTCACGTCTGTATGTGGGACGAGTGTATGCGCGGCGGGAAGGCGTTCAAAGCCAAATACAAACTCATTAACCACATTCGCGTGCACACCGGGGAGAAGCCGTTTTCATGCGCATTTCCCAATTGCGGCAAGATGTTCGCACGCTCGGAAAACCTCAAGATCCACACGCGCACGCACACTGGTAAGGGTTCGTGATTGTGTGACTGCTACGAGAGCGCAGATACTGTCATTGCGCCCGCTCAGTCCGTGCCATCCGTCAACACAAGCTTCCTGTCAGGGACCGAGAACACAGAGCATAATACACAGCGCTCTCCCCTGCTAGGAATCCCCTCCATGTTTACTTGGGCTTAGTTCGGTGTAGATTCACATTAGACTTGAGTGCTCCCTTGTTTCCTCGAGCAGCCACGGTTCTAAACTGCAGCAGAGGAGTCAAGCAAGGTGACAGGCATCAGCACAGGTCAGAACTGAGGTTTAGTTTAGTCCTCAGGACGTGTATGAGCGGTAAACCCGTCCTTGGGCAATGACTATACATCAGTTATTAATCATCAATAACAACAGCGCTTACTGCGTTTAGGATCTTGAAATCAACAAGCCAGTAAAAGTCACCAGCTAAACTAGAAACAACCACACAATGCAGAAAATGAGTGCGATGCTGTACCGACATCACGGGCAGGGTAGCGCAGGGCGCTGATTGAAACTGGCTGCATGTGTGACAGATGATGCTCTGAAACTGCATCCAATAAAAACTGGTACTTACTGGGTGCACCCCCCCCAACAAGCTCTCACACACCTTCATTCATTCATTCTATAGACAAGTGCCACGTCTAACATTCATGCATGCACTCACAATCTAATGGGTCAACTTACTCCAGGATGCTTGGACATGCAGGCTGAAGGGGCTGGGGCTCAAGCCACCAGCTCTCTGATTGGTAGAAAAGCTGCTTCTGATGTGAGTCACAGAGGCTCCAGCTAAGTGGTCTGCAGCCGTATAAGTAGCTGAGTGGTCCCACATACATGCAGGTCCATTTTCTGACCATGTCTCTTAAAGATGCTTTATTACCACAACACTGAGTTTATGTTACTGATATAGACTTTTTCTAGGAAGGCCTGTGATGGCATGATGTCACGGTAGAGGCTCTGTACATAGACTGTACATAAAAGATGGACACAGATTCCAGTGAAGCCCGTGTCGGTGTAGCTATAGTGGTGAGGTGAAAAAAGATCAGCACATAGCTTCAAAAAGAGGTCTGCCACTGCATTCATCTTTAATACAGTCGATGCTTTTATGTGTGCTTCCAGTTTCCCCAAGACATCACTCCCATTCCCGTTAAAGACAGCATGAAAGCATTAGTACAACTATGTTTTCAAAAGGAATACAAAACATGCAAATGTTAAAATTTAGCATGTCGTTATCTCTTCTGCTGATAATCATTCATCGTTTTACATTAAGCTAAATCAACCAGTCTTATGTGAAAACAGGGTTTTTTATTAGCTGGTGCTTCCTCGCTGACCCCACCGTGTTTTCTCTTTATCCCAGAAGAAGGTAAAAACCCTGGTGTGTGTCTGTCCTCCCATATGGAAAAGATAAATATAACTCTTATAAAGTTTGTATCTGCCTTGTGTGAAACGTGTATGAAAAGCATACAAGAGTGAAAACAGATATGAGATCCCTTGAAAAATTATAGAAATGAAACTTGTATGTTTTGGACACTTCCTAAAACAATATATGAAAGTAATGAGAAAGTGGCCACTTTGATGAGTAAATCATATAAGCTTTATAAGTATATTGTCTTTTTCTTTTCCATATGGGCTCTCACAAGCTGCAGCGTGTCTGCATGGAAGCAGTGAGAGCCTGACCTACACAGCTCTTCTGTCCATTTGGTGCTGCATTAATCAATGTGGTGCCTGACTGTTAATCTAAAACTGCAGCAGATTTTTTTGTTAAAATCCCTTCTATTTATTACATTTACTGGAGATATTACATTTAAAAACAAAGGGAAGGAATCATGCAGCATCCATAACTTCCCTCCACCATGCTTGACAGAGGATATCAAGCACCATTTGTTCTGCACTCACAGATTTGCTTCTTTTGTAACCAATCGCCTTCTTGTTGGTGATGACTTTCTTCTTCAAAGCTTTCAGTCACCATTCAAGAGCTGCTGTTTTGCTAATTTCTCAATGGATCAACCTTCATTTCTTAAAAAGCAACATCACTCTGCTGAGGTTTGGAAGCTGTTCCCTGACTGGGATGTATGCCTAAAAGCTAAAGGATCACCTCTTCAGCAGCATCATATTTGTTAAACTTGCTTTAACTGTGTGCTCAGTGATGGTTGCTGAACATCGGTCACTGCGTTCCAACTTTGATATGAGTTTTGATTATTTAACCTCCTCAGACCCGAGCTCTTCCACGGCAGCATTTTTAATTTCTCTTTGATATTTGGGCTGATTGGGACCTGATGAATGTAAAAACAAAGAATTACCAGATTTTTTTTTACCTTATTTTTGTTTTTAAGAAAAATGAGAGCCACACATGAGGATATTCGCTTAACATTTTGATAGAACAGTAGCAGCATAATGTCCTTGTAAGTGGATATCAGGCCCTTGTAGAGCAAAATTGAGTATTTTGGTCTAAATAACCCAAAATGTGATGTCCACATATGTGGACGCAGGTCCTAGGAGGTTAAAATACGATTCCATTAAATATTTACTGTTATTTAGAAACAAGTGTCCTTTTTTGGAATAACAATGCTATTTCTCAGCATCACTCCTTTGAACGTGTCCAGTTGAATGTCAGTTTTTCAGGTCCATTCCCTTTGCAAGGCTGATAATTGTGCGTGTGATGTTTGTTTTTCAGGTGAGAAGCCATTCCAGTGTGAGTTTTGCGAGCGGCGCTTTGCCAACAGCAGCGACCGAAAGAAGCACTCGCAGGTCCACACAGCCTCAAAGCCCTACGACTGCAAGGCAGTAGGATGCACCAAGTCTTACACCCACCCCAGCTCCCTGCGCAAACACATGAAGGTTCACATCAAGTCATCACCTACCTCTGAAACCCAGGACCTGTACAATGCCATCCCTCTTCAACTCCAGCAACCTCATCCGGCTGTCCTCGAGCCCCTTGACCTTAAAATGAACCACCTCTCTCCATCACTTACTGACAGAAACACTCATTTTTCTCTGCTGTCCAATCACGAATTGGACCTCCGTTCAGCCAGCGAAGTGGACCATAAGCTGCTGCTACGGAGTTCGTCTCCGGTAGCGATGCCTCTGGATCTCTCTCTTTCAGGCCTGAAGAGCCAGCTGAGCCAGCAGCAGCAGAGCGGCAGGACCCCACGGAGGAGCCAGCGCTCAGTCAACCCAGCCTTACCTCAGTTGTCTAACATTAAGGAGTGGTATGTCTGTACCAGGACTACAGCACCACACTTTCCTCTCCTTCACCCAGACCACATCAAATCAGAACCTAGTGATGACGAGGAGTACGTCACGTAAAGTTGAGGGACTGGTGAAATTTGACTCGCAGAACAGATCTCATATCGTCAGATCCAGGTCGGGCCAGAACAAGCAGCTGCATGGTTCCACATCGGTGGCCCTCGGAGAAGGTCAAAGGGACTGTGTCACATTAAAAATGTGTGGATCAACAGAAACGGCTCAAATGGTGTCCGAAAGGACGGGAGGAACTCCTGATTATGAAACAAAATGTTTTACTGCAAGTTATCAGTCATGGCTAGCTAACCTGAACTAAGATAAGGAGTTAACTTTGTGCAAGTGGATCAGCGAATATTAAAGAGATTTGTGTACATGACGACCTCTAGAGACACGGATCAATGACCAATTCAAGGGCTCCACTTAGGTGAAGCAATTTTAGGGGCCAAGTTGATGGAAAGAGGTTAATGTTTCCTTGATGTCACAGCACCAATGTACACAAGGTAACACGGCAGGACCAAACCAGCAGGTACACAGGGGAGTACTTTATAGTCTCTGTATGCTTTGAGCAGACTGGTTTGTACAACTTTAAAAGGTTGATCTGGAACAGCTGATTCTGCTGTCAGGCCGCCACCTCTGTGGAAGCATACAGAGGTCTTTAGTAACAAACAGAAGTCTGGAAGTATTTGTGAGTTTAATCCAACGTAGGAGAAGTCAGTGAAACTACACTCACGTCCTTGTTTGTACTGAATCTCGGTTGGATTATGAGTGAGTTAATCTCTTGTGTTTGTTTACACTTCATTTCCAGCACCTCAAGCTTTCAAAAATCTCATGTCCTACACACAATGTGCATCAATAAATCAAGAAAAGAAGTAGAAGTGTGCATGATTTTTGAAACTGCTTAAAAAAGTAACTGTTTTAAAGTGCACTCTTCATATGTGGCTCAGATTCATGATCCACCCACCAGAAAAGTTCAGAGACCTGCAGCAGGTGGAACTGTCCACCAACCATAACCACAGTGGTTCCTCCTAAAAGGTTGTAATTTAATTTTGCCATGAACACATTGCAAAAGTCAAAGCTTACCCCAGGCAGACAGAGAGCTGGCTGTATTGACTGTATCAGGGGTTTTCTGCATTGGAAGTCTCCATGTTCTTGTGTCTTGATACTCTGACAGAGAGAGTAAGGTAGGTGGCTCCCCTGTACAGACTGACTCAGTGATGTGAAAGGTAGACCTGAAAGTGCGATCCAGCCTGTGGCAGTAAGATTATGTGGAGGGTGCACTCATCCACTGCCAGGATGTTTCACAGCAGCGGAGCATGCTTTTGGGCTAATCTTAGTGAAAAGAAGCTAAAATGAAAGCTGTCTATATTTTGACCAGCAGCTGGTTCAGAATTTAAAATTTGATACATTCTTGTAACATTAGCTACAGGCAACACCAATCAAATACATCGTCATGCTCTTGGGTAAATTACTAAAGCACGTTGCCAGATAAATGCTTTCTGACACTGCTCGAGTGAACTCAATGCTATTTCAATGCTATTTCAGCATACCTGCTGAATTGCTTGTTAATGCAAAGATCAAATTAGCCATTCACACAGCAGAACAATGCTTTTACACATGTAGTCAAGATAACAGTGAACTTCGAAGTGAGCATCAGAATTGGGACGAGGTGTTGCTGTTACCAGGTGGACTGCTCTGGGACTGTCACAGACAAACCTCTGTAGTGTTAACTGAGAATGACCTCAGAAAGAAAGCATCCGCTGAGTGACTCTGCTAGAAAATAATGGTCAGACTGCTTAGAGTTGGAAGGTAAGTCCATTAACCTCTTCTTACAACCAGACTGGAAAAACGTTGCCTGGTCTGATGAGCCGTGGCTTCCGCTGCAACGTTCAGATGGCAGTTTGATGTAATGTCACAGCGTGAATTAACCCTGCCTTGTATCTGCAGCTCTGGATGTGGGTGGTGGTGGCGGTGTATTGGTGTCTTGACATATGGTCTTGGCACCCTTAATGCTATTCTTTAAAGACCAGAGCCAGACTGTGAGTTTGAGTCCAACACTGCATGTCACAAAGCTCACATAATCTCAAATTGGTTTCTAGAACGTGGCGAGGAGTTTTCTGTACTCTGATGGCCTCCAGAGTCTCCAGAGCTCAGACCAACAGAGCACCGTTGGGATGTGGTTGAACCGGGGGATGAATTCAGCCAAGAAATCTGCAGCAACTGTGTGGGTCCCTTTAACTTCAAAGGCTAAAGGATGTAATTAAAGAAGTGTCTGGGTGTGAGTGTGTCTGCAACCGACATGTGATGTGTTAATATCAGCTAGGATAGCACCCTGAGGCCCTCAGAAACCTAATGGCAAACAAAGGGACAGCATTTTCAGTAAGCGTGTTTAGTCGTGTTTATATACCAATGAAAATTTTGTTCCAAGCATTTTAAGTTACTTTTGGGTTGGGGTGTGCTATCTTCACAGCTCTGGTGAGTGGTGCTCTTGGACTCTTGTGCAAAGCAAACATTTCTGCACCTAGATTAAACCCAGGAGGCTCTCCAGCCAAGAAAGAATTCAGCATGTGTAAGTTATTAGGCTCATCCGAGGGCTGACTGCAGCTCTGGAAGGTTTGAATCACGACTCCTGCACTGGGCATGTGCAGTGCTGTGCCCCCTTCCTCATTTCTTAGTTGTTGTTTTTTGCATATCTACAAACACATTGCTCACATGCTTCCAGTCATCAACTAAACTTTAATGTTGGACAAAGATAACCTGAGTAAATACAAAAAGGAGTTTTTAAATTTGATTTCTTAAGAGAAAAGAGTTATCCAAATCTACCTGAAACATTTTTGGTCACTTTAAATATCTATCTTATATTTGCTGCAATTGATGCTGCCCCGTTGGCCTGGCCGCTCTTAATGTTTAATGTCAATCAGAGTTCATAATCAAAGGACATATTAAAGTGTCTTTGCTATAAACTGATTGGCACTTCTACCTTATGGCACAAATGTTCTTTCTGGCTTGGCATGATTCAGTATTTACTATTTAAATACCGGAAATCACTTTTTGGCACCACACTGGCCTCCTGCGGCTGTGCGCTCTGCACGCTACGTCATGACGTTGTGGATGATCGGCAACATGGCGGCGCACAGTGTTCCTTCGACGTTAAAGAGGCTTCTGTTCGCTGTAAAGGTGAGCTGACCGCCAGGGTCTGTGCTTTCACTCAGAGGACCTC